GTCCACATTTATATTTTCTGGCGACTTAAACTTCTCCTTTTTAAACATAACTTAAGTTCCTGGAAAATGATTACTTTTTGCTTACAAAAATGAACTCTTACCTTGAATAAACATGAAATTTTAAAATGACTTTCAACAAAACCCCTGCTGTTTTAACTTCTAGAAAACGGGGCCATTCTAGAGCTGACAAAGCTTTACAATCTATCATCCAGGACTGACTGACRGTGGTGATGGCATAATGCTTACAAGAACTGAAAAAGAACAAAGCTTTCCCCAAGAAGTGACAAACTAACAAAAAGAACAAAAAGGACAGATCAGTGTGTTTGTACAATGAAGTCTCGGGACAGCTGAGCTTTCCCTCTTAACCATTTCAAAAGCTACAACACATTTCGTTGTTCTGCTTCAAATTTCTTTGCCTAGCCAGGTGTGTTGGTGCACGCCTGTAATCCCAGAAACTCTAGAGGCTGAAGCAGGAGGATCACAAGTTCAAGGCCAGTCTCAGCAATTTAGCAAAGCCATAAGCAATTTAGGAAGTCCTGTCTCAAAATAAAAAATAAAAAAAGGACTAGAGATGTGGCTCAGCAGTTAAGCATCCCGGCTCAATCCCTGGTCAAAAAAAAAAAAAAAACAAACAACTTTGCCCACTAAATTGCCTTCCTTCACCATCACCTACTATAGAAAGTCTGTACTAAACAAGGAAAGATACTCAACACTGTCGTAGAAAATGAGGTCCAAGACAAATAATGGAAATATATGACCAGGTGTCAAAATGAGTGGAAGGAACAAAAAGTGATGAGTTGAGGGAAGAAAGGTTAATATAGCACATGAATAGAATTCAAGAGGCCAAATGCCTCTGCACACAAAAAGGCCCAACATTAAAAAAAAAAAAAAAAAAAGTGTGAAGGACTGAACAAACTGAGGCTGGGGGGAGGCAGGTGGCACTGAACAACTGACAGGTTACTTCCAGAGGACAGCAAAGAGACTGACCTGCTTAGAAATAAGGATTTTTGTTCTGAATGGAGGTGTAACAACTAAGGTCACTTGAATAATCCTGTCGACCTTGCTAAGTTTATTTTGGAGGACTTTAGACTTAAAGGCTTGTGAGAAATGAGATATGGTGGAACCTGAGATTCCAGAAGATTGCTCCATGGAGCCCCATGGCACTCAYTTCAGGAATGGGAAAATATGCAGACTCTCTCTGGGGATCAGAAGCAAAGCAAAATGGTTAAGAGGGCAGGCTCCAGATCACAGCTGAGATTCCCGTCCTCTGCCTGCTACCAAAACAGCAGTGAGATGGGGCCAGTGATGAAGTTTCTGGGAAAACAGACTTATAAAATGTCCCTTGTCGAGTCACTACTTTGGGGGTTAGACACCTTGTGCCAAGACTGTTTCTCAATCTTCTGGTTGAGATCAAGTATACACACTTTACCAAGTAGTGTTCTGCTAGTGGGAAAGCACACTAGCCAGGGAATTCGGAGACTTTGGTTATTATGAGTAAAGTGAACCTCAGAATTCCAAGCACCCCAAGTGTAAAATGAGGTGCCGATAGCCTCAGCCAAACTGAGAAATGTCACTGATGATGTTACACGGGACAGTGCACAAAGTGTGGGTCAACTAATGGGATCAATGCTGGGAAAGAAACACATCCTGAAGACACAAACCTTCAGTCTCCCAGGAAGAGAGCTCCATTAAGTCTCCAGAGAGGGTGGGTGCACCTTTAGAACGCTAACCTCATGCCCCTGAGGAAACTAAGGGGATGTGCCACCAGCCTTGCTCTGGGTCGGGGTTGTCTTGCAGTACAGCAAAGGCCTCAGCTCCTATTGCTAAATTAGGTGTTCTGAAATGAGAAAGAAATTTGTCCTTCCACAATATAGTTGTCCTGTGTCCAATGTGCCTTCAATGTGAACTTAGGAATTTGAATACCAGCATCTGATAGTCCTGGCCCCAACAGCCATCCTCCCTCTCAGGCTGACCATCAATCCCTGACTTGTCTTATCAATGGGTAGGATGCTGGCCCTTTCTCATTCTTACCTGAGTGGATGCTCCCTTCCCTGTCCTGTCTCCCACCTCTCTGTGCCTCCATGCTCAGCTGCCACCTGTGCCACACAGTCTCTCCACCCAATCTGTTCCCCTGTTCCTTTTCATGGGAGACCTGGGTTCTGGTCTTGTTGTCAGACACCCAAGACTGCCACTTCAATCAAAAAATCACCATCTTGCCACTTATTGGCAATGTGACTGTGGGTAAACATGTGCCTTGGTGTCTGTTATCTACAATATGTGCACAGCCTTTTTCACAGGACCATAATGATGGGTAGGAAATAAGTGTGGGGAAAGGGTAAAACTAAAGGGTGCTTGGAATGATGTTAGCTTCCTTCTAGGATTGAAGAAGCTGTTCCAAAAGCCCAAGTGTGCAGGCAGGCTGGCCTCCAGGGAGCCAAGACTTTATTTAATCCACTAAAAGCCTAAAAGGAATTTTGAACCTCAGGCCCAAATAAGCTCTTAAGTAAGAATATCTTACTGACCATATTTATAGGCCTCTTCARCTAGACAGAGTTATTATTTATGGCTGTAGTGCTACCTAAATCAGATGTTTCAGAAGTGGTATTTAACAGTCTTTCTCTTTCTCATAAAAAAAAAAATATCACAAAAGAGTAAGAATGTTTTTAAATCATCCACATCCTACAATCAACCGATAATCTTTCTTTTCATCTTAATAAATCTTTCTAGGCTTTTTTCAGATTAGTTTTTTAAAAATGTGAAATGTATTATATATACATGCATTATTTAGCAACTGACCATATGATAATGTGGCAAGCATTTCCAACAATCAAACTCTTACTATTTCAACCAGAGGATATCAGGAATCTGTTTCAACCTATCTTAWTTACATGGAACGCTGATTTTAAAAGGTCTCACAGCCGGGTGCACTGCTGCATGGCCTGCTATCCCAGTGCTTGTGAGGCTGAGAAAAGAGGAGGATGGCAAGTTCAAAGCCAGCCCCAGCCACTTAGTGAGGCCCTAAGCAACTTAGTGAGACTCTATCTCGAAGTAAAAAATAAAAAAGGGCTGGGGTCGTGGCTCAGTGGTAAAGCACACCTGGGTTCAATCCCTGTTATCACAACAAAACAAAACAAAAGGATATCACAGACTAATAGAGAGCTTATATACTTTTTGGTTCATTTTACAATTACCAGAAAGAGTCCAACATTTATAAAAGGAACTCTAATGTGTCAAAAGAAATCAATTAATGTGTGAATTAAAACTTTAGAAAAGTAAAGCTAAGTATGTATAAGCAACACTATCATCATTAATCATCATTAAACTGTGCCATATGGAATACCCAAATATTCTGTCAAGAGACACTTCTTTAGATATTTGTTGCTAACAAATTTAAAGACACCATAAGTCAATCTCTGGATAACTGATTGATCAGTCACCAACTTCACTATTTCTCAGGTCAAACCTGCAACAGAAACAAAGAAATGCTGTATTCTATCAGAAAATAATGATAAAATTTAAGATCTATAAAGTGATAGCCTATTTTATATTCATGCATCATCATAAACCAATCTGTAGAGTTAAACTGAGAAAATAAGAAAAATACTAATCACCAGTTCATCCACACTGCATGGAACTCTACGAAACAAGAGCATAATTTACTGGACTATGAAGAAAATAAAAGCAAGAAGAAAGCAGAAATTGCCTCCTGTTCTTAATAACCTGGGAGATGACTGACAGAAGGGACTTTTAAAAGCCACTACTCATCTTTGGCTCTTGGGTGCCTTTGGCTCTGACATGCCTTTCTATTTTAAAATATTTATGGCAAAGATAGAGATTYGACTACCAAATTTAGGAAAATGTGCAAAAGAACTTGGATAAACCAAAACAACAATGGACAGTCAAGTTATACGAGAAATCCAAYTGGTCAGTTACAACGAAGACTTTTGCCCTCACTATGAAGAGATTCAAACTTAAATAAGAGGCTAATTTCTGTGTATAAAATTGGTAAAAATTTAAAAAGAATAATATGAAAAATGAAAAGTAGCAAACTCTTGGAAGGGCAATTTGGCAGTAATGTCAAATTTTACAATGAATATGCCCTCCCAGAAATCCAACTTTCACAAATTTCTCTTAGACAATAGTAATCTAAGACATAAGACTTATGTACAACAAGGTTCACTCAACAGAAACATCATTTTTTTTTTTTTAAGAGAGAGTGAGAGAGGAGAGAGAGAGAGAGAAAGAATTTTTAATATTTATTTTTTAGTTCTCGGCGGACACAACATCTTTGTTGGTATGTGGTGCTGAGGATCGAACCCGAGTCGCACGCATACCAGGCGAGCGCGCTACCGCTTGAGCCACATCCCCAGCCCAGAAACATCATTTTTAAGACACAAAAAGTAATACCTAAAAGACTCTGTAACATAAAGAATGGTTACGTAAACTATGGCATGCCCATGCTAAAAAATGTTACTCGACTTTAAAAAGAATCACATGGATATGAATTAAAAACATGGAGGATGTCTGTTTATGACCTGTTATTACACAAAAGATAAAGCAATCCGTCCAGTATGAATCTTCTCATTTTAGCAGAAAACTAAAGCTGATAAAAATTATACACATACACACACTTATTTTTAAAAATATCTTTGAGTAAGTACAGAAAAAATGATCTAGAAAGATAAACCCTTAAACCACTCACTGCTAGTGTTCTTTTCTGTGGGTATGGATATTTGATACAAGGGCTAGGGACCAAGTTGTCTTAAATTCTCTTTGTTGTTTCAATTTTTGTTATAAACAAACGAAATTGTTTTTACAACTTAAAAATAACCAATAAGGAAGAAATTCTCTCAAGAAATTAAAATGCAACACATTGTCACATTGAAATAAGAAATGTACCTCAGCATGTCTTCTAGTAAGATAGGTAGTTTTTACATAAGCTGGGTACTTATGGCCTACTGACTTAATGACTGAGCATGGAAGATGAATACCCCACTTACCTTTTCAGGTGATATATTTTGTGTGTATACTGTCCCTTTTCGCCATCCTTCTCATAAGGTTCATTCTTTAAGACTTCAATTCCTTCTCCACCACCAGTCTCATTCTTACTAGCTTCTGCAACAGAGTACAGCTGCCCAACCTGATACTAAAATGTAAAAGAGCACAGATTTTCACTAAAAAATACAGAAATGTCCTATAGTAAAACCTTAATAGAGAAGACAGAGAAAAGTATATCCAAACCATGCAGCACGTGATCTACATGAAAATACAACCCAAGCCGGAAATTAACATTTAAAAAAAGACAAACAGCAGGTGATCATATAGCTTTCAGTATTTATATATTTTATAGGATTTCCATTATTCAAAAAATGCCAGTTATAAATATTTTGTGGCTTTAATACATACTATCCATTTATGCAGAAAATTTCTTGACACTCTGTTCAACTTTTGAAAAAAAAATTTTTTTTGTAAGTTCCAAAGCATTTTTACTTCTATTGTATTAAATTAAATAATAAATTAAATACAATTAAATTATTGTATTAACTTCATGAAATTCTGAGGAAAGTATGGCAGGAACATAACTGTCACTGTGTCAATTAAAGCTGAGCAACCAGAATACTGTTCTCAATAAAAAGGAGGGTACAAAGTTTAATAACAAACGCTTGAAGAGTCAAAGTACAATGGGGGTCCAAATTTTAGAACTCTTGTTTTTWTTTTTCCTCATGACTTACGTATGACATCCCAATTTGGCCCTTGCTCAACTAAACAGTACTGGATACCCGGAATCGGAACTTTAAAACAAAGTCTTCGAGTAAACAGGAACTGCTTTAAAAATATCATAAATATATGAGTATTACCATAAAAGGCAGTAACTTGCTGACAAGTTTTTCATTAGTGAACCTCAATTCTCAGTGACCTGCACCTACATTTGTGAGGAAACAGCACTGTCCTCTGTCACTATCAATTCTCATAAGCAACAAAAAGCAAAGTTCTCATGGTTTAACTTGTTCTAGTGATGAAGCCACAGCACCAAACCAGCTCCAATCTCTTCAAATCTGATAAAACTTTTTCCTTCCAATGAAAACAGCTTAAAGAAGCATTTTTTCTTTATATTATCAAAGTAAAGGCACAAAAATCTATCTCCAAGAACTCATAATCCAAAATTAAAATTTGATTTAAGGAAATAAGAGTCACTATAAACTGAAAATATTAGTATCTAAAAAGCTTGAGGGGATACGGGCTGAGATGGTGGCTCAGTGGCAGAGCACTTGCCTAGCACATGCGAGGCCCTGGGTTTGATCCTCAGCACCACATAAAAAGAAATAAATAAAATAAAGGTATTGTGTCCAACTACAACTATTTAAAAAAGAAAAAAAAAAGGATGCTATCTTGCAGATTAATTTAAAACACAAACACACACAATTTTACTCAATTTGGAAGGGTTTAGGAAGCTGGAACCAAACAAATTTCTTACATGGTCCAAAAATAAGTGTCTAGGGACTTTAGACTGCAAAGGGGCTGTTACAACACTAGGGTTAGTCTAGTCACACCACAATCCTTAAGTCCTTCAGAATGTACTTTTTCGACACTGTCATATACATAAACAGGATGAAAATGTCTCAACCAAAAGGTAAATTTGGTCTTGATCAACACAGAGTAAAAAAATTCACAGAGACAACTAAATAACCATATCCAAAAGAAGTGATTGATGTACTGATAAATTGTGGCATGCTACTAGGCCTTCCTCTTGTTCTTATTTTAAGAATGATTTCAACCAGGCACGGTGGAGCACACCTGTAATCCCAGTTGTTCAGGAGACTGAGGCAGGAGGATCGTGAGTTCAAAGTCAGCCTGAGCAATGGCAAGGTGATTAGCAACTGTGAGATCCTGTCTCTAAAGAAAATACAAAATAGGACTGTGGATATGGCTCAGTAGTTGAGTGCCCCTGGGTTCAACCCCTGGTACCAAATAATAACAATTATTATTATTATTTCAGTAGAGACAAGAGACATGCTTATTAAATCTGAACATAACAAAAGGCTATGAGTAGTGTGGGTGACAATACCAAGACTCAGAAAGATTTCAACAAACTGATTCAACCAGCTGAAACAACAACAAAAAAAGCCTAACAAAAACAAATGTCAAGTTGCACATTTAAGTTCAAAACAATCAACTGTGCAAAYAAACAGGGGTCCTGACTTGTCTTGACTGTGTTGTAACACAGTGAGACGTCAAGCACTACTGGGAAACCACTACTGGGACCCACAAAGCTGTGCTCATGTCTACATCACTCAGGACCAGAAGGCTACTTGCTACTCTTTTTCTGTTCCTGCGTTTCCCCCCATCTTCTGTCAGCTGTCACCTCTTAGGTTATCAGTTTATTTTGTCCCACTTCCAATTCACTGCTTCTAATCTACTGACAGCTCTAGGAAAACCAGACAAGTAAGCAGGAACTGTGTGCAAGTAACACAAGGCCCYGGGGAGTTTTATGAGGCCTGCTACTCATATCTTCAATTGACAGCTTTTTCTTTTTTTCATCATTTCTAGCTCTACTACAGGTGGCTGCAACTGCAGGACACAGTTCCTCTATAGGTGATCTATTTCTATGGCACACACAAATCATGAAAGATAAGCTGTCCCAGTCAGATGTTGGTCAGACTGTGTCTGGAACACTGTTTTCAGTTCAAGGAAACAACTATGACACACACAGCCATGTGACCTGTTGGGGAGGAAGCCTAGAGGTCTCGTTATATTAGGCCAAATAAATGTGCTGGGATGTTTAACTTTATGACCTTTGAAACTGGAACAAAAAGTCTTGGCAGGTAGCGGGGTTGGCAGGACAGCCACCATCAGGAAGTCTGAAGGGGTACTACAAGCAGAACAGGGCAGATTCTATATCCAAACCCAAGTGGGGTGAAGTGTGAACAACAGTCAGACATCAAGGGAAAGCAGATTTTGGCTTAAAGACAAATGTTTTAAAATGCCCAATAGTAAAGCAGTTGCTTTTATAGGCAGCCAGCTACTTAACCTGAAAAGCTCTTCAGTTGAGGCTGGAACCTCATTTCCCTGGGATGGTGTAGAAAGAATCCCTGCACTGGTTAGACTCTATTCTTTTGGGGGACTGAACTGAGGGCACTTTACCATAATGCTACATCCCCAACCCTTTCCTAAATATTTTGAGACAAGACCTAGCTTAGTTGCTTAGGGCCTCTCCAAAATGCTGAGGATGGACTTGAACTTGCCATCCTCCTACCTCAGCCTCCTGAGAAGCTGGGATTTTATTCTTCACACTCTGCAAAAACAAGGCAGTAGAACAGAAATTTGTTTGCAACTGATTATCTATAATATACCACAACTCATATTTTGTTACAAAACTGGAATTAAAAAAAATGAACACTACCAAGAAATGAGTTTAGATAAACACATCAAAGTAAATCATGCCAATAATTTTCAGAAGAAAGACTTACCTCCTGAACAGAACATGGCAAAACCACACGGCTAAAATAACAAAAGAAAAAAATATGTATTACACTTTAATGGCTTTAAACACAGATCTCTAAGATTTAAAAAAATCTTTTACTTTAAATCCAATGATACAATAGATAGGACTCTTAAATCTGAAAATAAAATTATGTCATTTATCTAAGAGAGTCTTTGCAATTCCCACAACCCTAAATAAAGGTTTCTAAACTACAAGAAAAAAGCTACCTCCCCTGAATTCCAATGATCATTTGTACTAAGTGTCCTCATTGTTCCAGGACCCCAAAGATGCAGTTGCAGCAATTCTTATAAGTAAAATTAAACAAGAAAAAAAAAAAACTCATCATTGAAAATTGCAGGGTACAGAATGTATTATCTGCCCTCATGAAATTTTTAGATGGTTTCATCGACCATCTATATGCTGTGCGTTTTGTTTTTATGACACTTCTCAAAGAATATGTATTTTGAATTTCATAAAAAATGTTTCCAGAAACTGTTTCTCTAGTACCCAATTGTTCAAGTGTCACCAGGTAAAAATAAGTAAGGGATCCTTTCAAATTAACACACACACCAAAAAAAAAAGAAGAGAAAAGAAAAAAAACTCTTTTATTAAGGAAACTATCTTAAACTTTATAATTACAATAATTTTTTCCAGGGTAGACTCAATAAGGTTGATAGATGTTTAATCCTGTCCAAGAATTTTCTATTGGACATACTAAAAGGATATCCTTATAACTCCATTTTACCTATAATACAGTATTAAAGAATTATTTTTAAAAATATTATGGTGTTATTATATGTCAGAATATTGCATTTTTTTCTAAGTTTTTACAGAGATGCCTTATTTCCATCCTTAACCATTTCTACCATAAAATCTGAAAACCAAAGTCCTCTTTGTAGATTGTCTCATAACACTGAGCTCCAAGACAGCAACTTCCTTTTCCCCTTACTTGGTTCTCCTTAGTCTTTTATTTAAAGTAAAAAAAAAAAAAAAAAAAAAAAAAAGCGGGGGGGGGGCAGGTAAACAACAACAACAAAAAACAACCTCACAGTCACCTCAAGTGTCATTTTACAGAAAATTCCCAATGGTTTTACTCATTCCAGTTTCTCCTCAGCTGCAGTGTTTTTGTTTTTCTCCTCAAGTAAGTCAGTTTTTTGTTTACATTAGTGGCAATTTTTTTTTACCTAGACATTCTTAGTTGGCTTTATTTTGCACAATGTGAAGAGGGTATTACTGTAACCCAGGAATACTACATCTCGTTTTCATCTCAGCAGCACCTCCATCTCCTCTCCACAGTCCCCTCAAACATTTGCCCTGAATGTTCACATCACCTTAATCTCCAACATGAACTGTTATTTGCTCCCCTTGACTAAGGGTCACTTGTCACTCTTTCTTACTGATAAAGGTGACTTAAAACCGATGACAATCTCAAAGTTACAATGGTCACTGGTTTCAATTCTCATCAAGAATAAACTTGTTCTAAGTCCCTCCATAGTTAAAAATCCCTAATCATCTTAGCTGTCCCCTCAGGGTACACACTCACTGCTCACTGTCTCAGTAAACAGGGCATAACTTGGGGGAGAAAAAGTTAGAAAGACAGAGGTGGGACATTTYCAGGGCTTGGAACACTATGGTAAGAATTAAATGAATTACAGGCAAAAAGGAGTCCTGGAAGGTTGTTCCAAGAGGTAAATGATGTAACTACAGAAGACCCAGGAGGTCATCGAGAGGTGGTTAAAAGCACTGAGGGTCAGGAGAATGAGGAATACAAGTCTTCTGGGAGGGTCTTCAAGTGTTACTAATAAAGACCTGAACCAAGGGGACTGTAGAGACAAAGGGACAGAGAGGAAAGAAAAATATTCCCTGTAGTCTCACAAAACCAAAAAGAAATCATAGTTGAGTGATTTCAACAAATATGCACTAGCGTGAAGATCCCCATTTTGTTTAGTAGCACTTTCAAAGAAATTTCTTTCACAAAACGAAAGTGATTAAGACATTCAGAGTGATGAGTCAAGAAACTTCTTCAAGATTTGCTTAGTAAAAAGTAAATGGGAAAAGGAACTGACAGGTTTTGATTTTCCATTATTATTCTAAAAGCAAAATTCAATTTTCAGAGTAATTTGAAAATTTACAAACATCTCTGAAAATCCTTGTGAAATTTTTTCCATTACACTAATGGCAACTTCATCTACTGCGTTAGTAATAAATGGATGGGAACTCACCCACGCTCAAAGTAATTTCTGACTTTTAAATTTTTATCAAAAATAGAGTTTTCTAGGACAACAAATATTTGCCAAAGTATTTTAGTTTACCAATGTCTTTATATAGGAATGACTAATTCACTCTCCCGACCAAAAACAATTTCAGAAAGATGACTGGAGAGTAGAAAGAATCATTTTTTCATTCAACCATACRAGTACTTAGACTATGTTAGACCATATTCCATACTAGACACTGGGAATGCGTTTAAAAAAAAAAAAAAAAACAGCCCTTAACTAAAGAAAAGTCTATAAAGAAAAAAAAAAAAAAACACCCTGGGAAAGACACACAAGAGAAGTAAGAGAAGTAAACATCCAGAAGGGCAATGTACACCTTACGAAAAATAATCAGACTCGGGGCACACTTCAACTTTCGTTATTTCAGTGCATTTAAATTTTCATAGGGAAAGGAAACATTTGCAAAAAGACTAGTGTGCAAATTCTCAGCAGGAAATACTTTCCATGAGCTATGTACTACTTACAAAATTGTCAAAGGATCAACTGAAAACTTAAATTCACATTTTGGAGGGAGAAGGTAATTCCAACAGAAGAAAAAAAATGACTAGATATCTGACCCAAAAGCAGTTCTACAACTCTCTATGGGGCTTGAACYGAGACAATTTCTTCCTGAATTATATCCTCAATTTGTCTTAATATCTGCTACTACCTACATCATATATTAAAATAACAAATGCATGATACATTGTTATAAGAAACTTGGAAGTTTTACATAAACCCAGAGTTCAGTATTATAAATGAGCTTTAATTAGAAAACGTCACTCTACAACAAAAGACAAAAACATCTTTTCACAGAATCCTGTCACTGACAAAAGTTGTAGTTTTTCATCAATTCATGAAACAAGTGTTTGTTGAGCATCCACTATGTGCTAGGGATGGTTCAAGAATCAGGGGGTAGAAAAGTGGGGAAAATGGGCAAATTGGTGGACCTTACATGTATTAAGAATACACCTAGCGCTGTGGCTGTGGCTCAGTGGTAGAGTACCTGCCTAGTAACTGTGAGGCACTGGGTCCGATCCTCAGCACCACATAAAAATAAATAAAATAAAGATATTTTAAAAAGACAGAGAATACACCTAGGAAAATAGGAATTCATTTGAGCAAAGACCTAAAAATGTTGAGTAATTGAGCCAGCAGAAGCATATTTCAGGCAGAACAAAAACCAACAGGTCTTCAACAGAGCTCATAGTTAGATCAGTGACAGATCTTTTGAGGCTGGACTGGGCACAGACAGGAAAAGTAATCAATGGGACTACAGCAAGGAAAAAAAATCAGATAAGGCCTTGCAGGCTGTTGCACCTTTGACTTTTATTCTAAAGAGACAGTGTGTCTTTGGGCRGTTTTAAGCAGGGAAGTGACATGAGTGGCTTTTTAAAGATTAGACAATTAACGCTACAAGTAAGGTGTCTGGAGACAGTTAAATTACATCAAAAAAAAATTTTTWAAAGAATTTGGAATGAAAACGTGAATTTAGGAAGAAAACAAAGAATGGGCCACACTAAAAAATCCCAAGCTGCCCTAGAAAGGGAGGCTGAAGTCAGGAACCAGGTGTGACAGCTGAATACTGACAACCAGATTTTCTGCGATGTTAAAAGACCCCGACAGTTGGGGGAAAAAACTTTTAAGTTTTCAACAAAATCTCTTGKCCCTGCTGCACCCGACAACCCCTCCATTTGACAGTGCATGGGTCTAACGCCCCACCTTAACCCGTGAAGCAGGTGGGTCCCCTAGAATCAACCCATCTAAAGACCTGAGGAGTGAGACTCCCGAGCAGGGAGGAAGCTCTCGGGCCAAGGCACCTAGCTGCCCGGCGGAGCACGGCCTATCGGGTCTCAGGGCTGCCGCAGAACTTCAGGGAGCCAAGCTCCCGAAGGTAGGGATGCCTTCACCTGGCAATCGCATCTCCCGCGGGTGACAAACAGACTCCACCCGGGGTGACAAATTGTCAGACCACCGCGTCTTCCCCCACCCCCGGAAGCTGCGGCTCCGTCCCACCGGCGGGCCTGGGAACGGGCCCGGGCCCAGACGCAGACCGGGGGTGGGGAGGGCCGGGGAAGAGGCGGGTCCCAGCGGAAACTCCGGCCGCGCCTTCCCGAGCCACGCGCCGGGGCCCGCACGCCGCCGCCTGCGCCCGGGGGAAAAAGGCGGCCGTGTTACCGCGGCAACGCCCGGAGGGCCTGGGGGGCGCGCCGCTGAAGGCCCAAGGGTGGGCCGGGGGCGCACGCCGGGGAGCGGGAGAGCGGCCGGGGAGCGGCCGRCCGGGAGATCACTACGTCTTAGGAAAATTTCGCCATTTCTCAGGCAATGAATCTTCCACAGTCATCGTCCCAAACCCTCCTTCGCGCCCACCGATCCACTCACAATTCCTTAATCAGCACCATCTTCCCGGAACCCCCTCACAGCTGCCGCCGCTACCGCCGCCTCTGCCGCCACCACCGCCGCTACCGCCTCTCAAGACGCATGCGCGGCCCCGCCTCCCTAGCCGCCGAGCCACTGCTGCGCCTGCGCGTCCACACCCTTCCGCCGCGACCCGTTGCGTCAGCGCGCCAGTAGGGGGTTAGCTCCGCCCAGTTGCACGCCCCAAGGGGCGCACGAGGCCGCCCCGGCATCTACGCAGAGCGCTGGAGAGCCAGTGCCTTCTATTGCGCCTGCGCGAGAGGAGGGCGCAAGCCTGCCTGCTTTCAGTGACTCCTCCCACCAGCGGCCGGCGCTCTAGGCACGTGTGCAGCCTACGCTTTCCGGTGAGTGTTTCAGTGGGTTCACTGGAAGGCATTTTGCGGCTGTTAGTGCTGTACTCTCCCTGCTCGGAGAGGAGCCCCTCTTAGCTGCCCCTCACTTCCTCAGTCCTCCCTGCAGATTTCTGACGGGCTCTGGAAGCCGGCCTTGCGGGGTCTGCACCCTCCCGGTTCTGCCGACCTGGAGTCCGCAGGAGGCTGTTCCGGATGCCCAGAAACTCCCTGTCCTCGCAGGTCCTTGCCCCGACTGCTAGTCCCCCACAGAGGTAAACTAAACCAGTTCTACCGGCCTCTCACAAGCATTAATTCACCATTCCCCTTGTATGTAATTGTGGAGTAAATAGCTCCTTACAGTACAAATGCTAGTGGATTTACAGAGGCAAACCAAAAGATTCCTGAACTCACGCAGTGGGTGAAACATTGCACCAGTTGATACAACACAGCCCTGGTCAAAGAGCATCCCCTAGAAAGTAAGGGTCCTTTATCTGGGGTCTGATAAAGGACCAGATGCGTTTTAGTGAGGCTCCCAGGAAATTTGTGAACCGCCAAAATTCATGCATCGTTTCATGTTTTTACACACTTTTCTAGGATCTATGGCTTCATTTGCTTTGTTTACTCAGCATTTTGTCTTCCCATTTTTCCCTCCTTCTTCCCTTCCAGGATGATCTTCATTGAAAGTATTTCCACAAAAACTAGGAATATTTCCAAGAATGCTTTAATTTTATGGAACATAAAAGCGTAGAACATAATATTGTGCCACTATGAGAAAGGCAAGGTTGGTCTTTAGAGTAGAGAGACCTGGCCTGAATCTTGGCTCTTCCAACTCAAGGTACATGTGTCTCTCAGATGCTCAGTTGATGGGTCTGAAAAAGAACACAGATCTGTGTGCAACCAATTTGTTTAAAGGAATGAAGTACCTTTGTTACACATTACCTGATGTATAATAGATGTTCAGTGAATGGGAACCTTTTTAAAAGTTTCCAGAGAGTGGGTGCAATAATTTAAATTAAGATGTAAACCCTGAACAACAAGATGGCAGGATAGAGGGGGTCATGTTCCAAGCTGCTCTGTAGTGTGAAACCAAGAGAGCAGACAGTTTCTCCACAAGGTGAGCAAATGAAAAGGGGAGGGGCTCTACTGGAATTTAAAACTGGACATTCAAGGCAGACAGGGGTCACAGGAGGTTGGATATAATAAAATAAGGCAAAAATCCCTAGCAGCACAGCCACTGCCATGCCAAGCCAGAAGCACCACTCAGGGCAGAACCCTCTGTGAGCACAGCGCAGAGAGAAGGGAATTAAAGGAACCCACATTTTGGGAGGTCTCAGGTGTGTCTGGCCATGGACCGTTAGAGATCAAGGACATCACCCAACAGACCTGAAAGATGTGCTGCATGATATCTTTTTTTTGGGGAAAGAAGCTGCCATCTCTCTAGACAGTGAGCAGAGGACAGGGAAGGAACCATTTTGCAGCCACATGCAGAAGCTGGCATTTGAGAGYGCTGATTGCTGGCAAACCCAGGTTTGGCCTGAAATAGAGGCCTGGTAAACACACACCGCAGGACACAGAGTGTGCTTACGTGACCAAGAAAATCAAAAGTGGAGAGAGGTTTACACAGGGAACAACTGATGGTGGAAACCCACCCAGTTCTACTGCTCCCTCTCCTATCCAGCTGCTTGCCAGACAGGCTGGGAGAGACGCATCTGGCCAGGAACTCAGAAGGGCTGGGGCAGGAGAGATTGTTTGGAGAYTGAACCCAGGACCAGGAAGCATGGGGTCTGAAGGAGATGTAGAGACTAAGAATTGGCTCCCCCACTACAGGAGTGGAACCCAGGTGAGATCCCGGGAGTGCAGTCCTCCAACGTGGGCTAGCAAGTACTGGGCACTGAGGTGCACTGATTTAAAATCTCCAGACCAATTGACATTTAGAGAAGATCCTGCAGCCCACCTAAGACTAAATCCCGCTTCTAGGAATTCCACCTACAGGATTACCTCTCTCACTCCAGCAATCCAGAGGTTTCAGCATCACACTCCAGATGACCCTATCTAAAACTGCTGAGAAGAGAAGCTGAGAATATTTTGAACTCCAAAAGAAAAAATTCTTTTAACTTTTCATCAAGATTTTTTTCTTTTCCTTTTTTAAAAATTCTTTTCCTTTGTTTAATTATTATCTTAATGATACCTGGATATTTATACATTTTCATGTATTTTTCTCTTTTCTAGCATTAGTTTTTTGTGAATTCAAATGTTCAATTAGTATATTCTAGTTTTGTTTTGTATTACTTTAATTTTTTTTTAATTTTTAGTTTGTATTTTTTTTTTTGCCTCCTACCTGTTTCCCGTGATTCTCTCTTTTCTTCTAACACCAACTTTAACTGGTCTCTCCTTCACTGTTTCTCTAATTTTTTACTTCTCTCTTCCCTTATAATCATCACATCTTTTCTATTTAAAGAGAGAATTTTTTAATATTTATTTATTTATTTTTTAGTTTTTGGTGGACACAACATCTTTATTTTTTATGTGGTGCTGAGGATCGAACCCAGCACCCTGTGCATGCCAGGCGAACGCATTACGCTTTAGCCACATCCCCAGCCCTCATCATATCTTATATCACTTCTATTCTCTCCTTGTCCACCATTTGAAACTATAAACCCTTTTGTAAACTGGCTGTTTTTATTGTAGGTAATAACCGATCATAACATTTATGTTTATTGTGATAATTAACATTGTAGATATTATAGTAGAAACTCTTTGGTCTGGGTGCTGGGTTTGTGGCTCAGTGGTAGAGCACTTGTGCCGCAGTCTGGCTGGGCACAAAATCACGAGCCACTCACAGCCTCGTAGATTCAAACAGCAATTCTTTATTCCCGAACTCACACTGGCCCTCTACAAACACGTTCTGGGGAAATTTTCGTTCTGGGCAAAATCCACRTACTCCACCAGGCTCTAATCAGCAGGATACACCTTAAACCTGGAACCGYCCTAAACCCAAGGAGCAGGATACTCCCTATTCCCAGCAGGATACACCCTAAACCTGGATCCGCCTTAATCCAGTAGGATCCACCCTGGTCCTTGAGCAGGGTCACCTTTCTCAAACATACATGTAATGTCACTGCAAATGTCCAAGGCAAGTCCATTTCCATGAGTCCTTCCTCTAAGCAACATGGGGTACGCTGGCAAGGAAATTGTCATACCTACTTGGCTAATGGCTCTCAGCACACTTGCCTGGCATGTGTGAGGCATTGGGTTCAATTCTCGGCACAGCATATAAATAAATAAATAAAGATACATCATCAACTAAAAAAATTTAAAAAAAAAAAGAAACTATTTGGTCTAATGCTGTATATTGTTTGCATTGGTCGTTGTTGTTATTTGTCTCTCCCTAAACAGTGAGGTACCAGAAAACTTCAGGGACACTATAAATCTACAGCATAGAAACTCTACTGCCACAGATCCATACTGGTAAATGGGTAAACACACAAACAACATGAAAAAGCAAGGGAACAAATCGCCCCAAACAAACCAAGATACTTGGGCCAGGGCTAGGGCTCAGTGGTAGCCTACGCACTTGCTTGGCATGTGTGAGGCATTGGGTTTGATTCTCAGCACCACGTATAAGTAAATAAAGATCTATCAACAACTAAGAAAAAAAATTGAAAAACAAACCAAGATACTCCCACAACAAAATCCATTGACACCGCAGTGGAAGAAATGTCAGAGAAGGAGCTTAGAATGTACGTGGTTAAACTGATCTGTGAAGTAAAAGACTGTATAAGGAATGAAATCAGAAAATACAGGAAGTGAAAGATCACTTCAATAAAGAGAGATTCTGAAAAGAAAAAAAAAAGCAAAGATTCTTGAAATTAAGGAAACCATAAACCAAATTAAAAATTCAATAGAAAACATCACCAACAGACCAGACCAATTGGCAATGAAGAAAAAATATATGATCTTGAAAATAGAGTTTGCCACAGAGAGATGTCAAGAAACCATGAACAGAACTTCCAAGAATCATGGGATAAAATGAAAAGACTGAATTTAAAATTTATCAGGATAGATGAAGGCACGGAGATATAAACGAARGGAATACACAATCTTTTCAATGAAATATTATCAGAAGATTTCCCAARCCTAAAGAATGAAATGGAAAATCAAATACAAGAGGCTTACATGACCCCAAGTGTACAAAATTGCAATTAGCCCACAGCAAGGCACATTATAATAAAAATGCCAAACATACAGAATAAGGATAGAATTTTAAAGGCTGTGAGAGAAAAATATCAGATTACCTATAGGAGTGGGAAAAGGGGACCTCAGCTGATTTCTCAATTCAGACCTTCAAAGCTAGGAGGTCCCATATCAAGCTCTGAAAGAAAATGGATGCCAACCAAGAATCCTAGATCCAGCAAAATTAAGCTTGAGATTTAAAGATGAAATAAAACCTTCCATGATCAACAAAAGTTAAAAGTATTCACAGCTGGCTGCAGGGGGAGCATGCTTCTAATCCCAGTGGCTCGGGAGGCTGAGGCAGGAGGATTGTGAGTTCAAAGCCAGCCATAGCAAAAGCAAGGTGCTAAGCAACTTAGTGAGATCCTGTCTCTAAATAAAATACAAAATAGGGCTGGGATGGGGCTCAGTGGTTGAATGCCCCTGAGTTCAATCCCTGGTTACCCCACCCTCCAAAAAAAATTGCAAATAAAAAACCTGAACTACAGAACATTCTCAACAAAATATGCCCGTGAAGATGAAATTAAACAAAATTGAAAACCAGCAAGGGGAAGGACTACACTAAAGAAATAGTTAAGCAAAGAAGAAACTGATGCAAATTAAAAACTAGAAATAAACCAAAATGGCTGGGAATACAGATCATATCAATAATAACCTTTGATGTTTATGATCTAAACTCATCAATCAAAAAACAGACCCAATAATATGCTGTCTCCAAGAGACTCACCTCATAGACAAAGACATCCACAGACTGAAGGTAAAAGAATGGGRGAAAATATCACATGAATGGCATAAACAAGCAGGGGTCTCCATCCTCATATCAGATAAAGTGGACTTCAAGCCAAAGTTAATCAGAAGGGACAGAGAAGGAGGGTTCATGCTTCTTAAGGAAATTATACATCAGCAAAACATAACAATCATAAATATTTATGCCCCAAACAATGGAGCAGCTGCGTACATCAAACAAACCCTTCACATATCAATCAAATAGATCACAACACAATAATACTAGGTGACTTCAACATACCTCTCTCACAGTCAATAGATCTTCAAATCAAAAACTAAATAAAGAAGCCATAGAACTAAAAATACAATTAATGATTTAGATTTAACAGACATAGGATAGTTCATCCATCAACGAACAAATACACTCTCTTCTCAGCAGCACATGGATCCTTCTCTAAAATAGACCATACACTATGCCACAAAGCAACTCTTAGCAAATACAAAAAAAAAAAATAGAGATGAAACCCTGCATTCTATCAGATCCCAATGGAATGATATTAGAAATCAATGATAAAATAAAAACAGAAGCTACAATAACACCTGGAGACCAAATAATGCACTATTTAATGACAAATGGATAGCAGAAGAAATTAGGGATTTAAAAAAATACTTAGAGGTAAATGAGAACATTGATACAGCATATCAAAATCTCTGGAATACTATGAAGGCAGTGCTAAGAGGAAAGTTCATTGCATTGAGCTCATTCATTAAAAAAAAACAAAGCCATTGGGCTGGGGATGTGGCTCAAGCGGTAGTGTGCTCGCCTGACATGCGTGCAGCCCGGGTTCGATCCTCAGCACCACATACAAACAAAGGTGTTGTGTCTGCCAAGAACTAAAAAAA